CAGTAACGGAGTATTTGTACTCCACTACTTCCCACCTCTGCTCATTTGAAGTATGTTTCGTTCCTGATGGCACTGTTGGAGTCATTTGGACACTAACATGCCCTTTTGTGTCCTGTTAACGGAGCAGAAGTAAAGAGTTGAAGCGTTTACCTGCCTCCCTTCTCTCCTCCTTAACTCTTCGCTAATCGATGTCTGAGCTGCGTTAGAGGGGATGTGTAAATGAGTCCGAGTGACTGGGCATTCACCCGCCTCATTTCCTCAGTGATTAGATCAGGATCCCCTCCCATACAATGATGTTTTCATTATCCTCCACTCCTCTTCTCCCTTTCCTCCCTTTTCGCCTCTTCTTTTGTCCATTAGGCGAGGCAGCTAGAGCTTCATCGCTGCTAACTGAAGGATGTGATCATCTTAAAAAAGAAACTTAGTAGTAAAAATGTAACAATGGCAATAAATGTAACAGTGGAACCATTTGGGTTTTAGTATTCTTCATATCCATCAAATACATTCAATTTGGCAAAAATAACATTTAAACACTTAACAGTATATCCCCATTTACAGTGTCCAAACGTACACCTGTAAGAGAAGGTCACCATGTTAACAATCAGAGGCTGCCAATACGTTATCATAATTTCAGTCATATTTACAGAAGTACAGACAAACTGAACATTTGGTAATGGTACAAAAACGACCGGAATGGTTATCCTTTAACTTAAAGCTCACCTATTATGCTATATTCAAACAATATATTATTGGGCCATATCTATAGAGAGGCGAAGTCCCACCCATCTACTTCCGCCCCATGGGACCTTATTTCGGAAAAATGATGTATTGAAGTCAATGGAGAGAGAAAGATGATCTTTCGATCCCGTTTGAATTGTGCCACGAATTACACATATGATGTTTGTCAATCTTAAAAAATAATTTCCATGTCAAAAAAGTCACAGTTTGTCGTAAAACTGTTGAAATATAACACTCTGAAAAATATGCAACGAGAAAGACTACAAATCCCAGAATCCCGGTCCCGCATGCTGGCTCTTACGGAACCGACTAACTCCCCTTGTGTGTGTGTACAGCTCTCAACATGACCAGACTTGTAGAGATTTTCAAATGTGCCAACGTGACGGCCGTCTTGGTGTATGGTGCGAGACCAGAGATGTAGTTCATTGAGCGTTTCACACAAATACAAGTGTTACTTCACAGTTTTACGACACATTTAAAATGTTTTGACTTGCAAAATTATCTTTTAAATTGACGAACATCATATGTGTAATTCGTGGCACAATTTAAACGGGATCGAAAGACAATCTTTCTCTCTCCATTCACTTCAATACATACTTTTTCCGAAATAAGGTCCCATGGAGGTCCCCCGGAAAGGGAGGGACTTAGCCTCTATATTGTAATCTGACCGGAAATTATGTTTTGTTACAGAAACGTTCAAAATAAAGGTCCTGCCTGTTCACTTACTGTATAACATACTGCTCCCTCACAGTAACAATTAAAATGTGTATATCTTTCTGATCCAAACTAAGAAGGGAAAGATATTCACTGCTGACTGAATTTATGCTAGGAGGTCATCCTTGCAAACTCAGCAGAATAACAAACGCTAGTGAATAAAACAATTTAACAAGACTACTTGAGAGATAACCACTTCCAATAATCAGCTACATGCAGGTTAAGGAAAGAGCATTCTGTTGTGTCTTTATAAAGGATTTCATTATAACGTGAAGTTTTACCCGTGGAATCTTCTTGCAAGCCCACATCAAAGGCCAGCTTGTCCGTGAGTGACCGAGACGTAGTCAAACAGCTCAGGTACTGGGGAGGAAGATCTTATTCAGGACATGAACACAACTTTCCCAAAATACTGACAGAAACATATGCAATCACAAAGGAAGTGGGAAGAGTGGTTTCTTATGTCTGGTGCAGCCTTACCATGCTTGAGTGGTAGTGTCTCAGGAGGATGGCATGGCCGTACAGTAAGGTGCGATGCCCCCCACCCTGGGACGACTGCAGTGGAGAAGATAGAGATATATTAAAGACCACACTAACTATACACTTTAGATATACCTTGATCACACAGGGAGGAAACAAAGATTTTAGAAGGGCCAAAGGATCAGGATATTAAGAGTCACTCCTTAGTATACCCTTTGGGGACCAATAAAACATATCTACTCTTGTTTTATCTTAGCGATGGAGACACAGAAAAGATTGGAATGGGACAGATAGGACATACTTGAATGTACACATGTGTTGTAACATCCCTGAAAAGAACACTCGTGAGTCATTTGTGGATGATAAATGATTCATAATGATTAACATCACTCCACATACAGAACATGTTGGGGTCCATTCTATGCAAATACAAGACCATTACCACAAGAACCACATATATAAGAAAGTATCAAGAATAATAATTCTGCGAGAAGGTGTCACATCCAGCAAAGATGCAACAAGGAAAGAGAATGACTGCAACAGTTACGGATGGATTAGCTAAAACATCCATTGACTCCAGCCAACAGGAAGATAATGCTTAGCCCTTCTGTAGGGTTAAGCACCCATAATCCACCAGGGCGAGGTCAGGGCAGGTATGTCAAGTGGTCGCATTAAACCATTAGCCTTGGTTAGGACAGGTGTTGGTGTGTGTGTGTGTGTGTGTGTGTGTGTGTGTGTGTGTGTGTGTGTGTGTGTGTGTGTGTGTGTGTGTGTGTGTGTGTGTGTGTGTGTGTGTGTGTGTGTGTGTGTGTG